GCTCAAAAACGATTTTAAGATAGGTTGAAATACAATGCAAGATTGGGGAATAAAGAGGCAAAATTGTTACCCTTGAAGACCCCTTTAACAATGGTGCTCCAACAGCTCCTTCTAGGTTGAAAACAGCTCCAAAACTTCAAAACCAACCTCTTAGAACCTCAGTAGCTAAGTGAAGGTGAAACACTATGTGTTTGTGTGCAATAGTAAGACACAAACACACTTTAACACACACAAGAGGGAGATATAGAGATAGAAAGTGTATGGTTTCTAACCCTAGAACTCAAAATCCTAAAAATGGCTGTCTAAAAATATCTCAAGTGCCTCAAGTGTCTAACCCTTGCAACAAGAGAGAGCCCCTCTCTTATAGAGCTTATTGTCTTGTAAAGCTTACAAGACAAGCTTCTAAAGAGGGAGATCCCTCCGTACACGTGTATGGAGGGGAGCAAAAAGAAAGACAGCTATCTTAAAATATCTGCAAAAGCAGATGCACAGTAGTCGGCCGGCCAAAGATGCCATTTTGGCAAAAAAGAGTGCCGACCGGCACTAAATAGTGCCGAGTGGCAGTAAAAACTAGCCGGTGGCCTCTAGCCACTGCCGGTGGTGTGTGGGGATGCCTCACAAGGCATTCCCTGCCCTTCAAAGGCAAAATGCAAGTGTTTGGTGCAAAACCAGACACTAAACGGTCGAATTCGGAGATCCTGAGGCAAGGCGCGTAGCCGAGACCTCCGGGAACTCCAAACGAACACAAACATGGATGATCACCGAGTGTTCAAACGGTGACGTCCAAGTCTTGAGAACGGTCAAAAATGGGGTGTCTACAGTAAGGCAAAAATAATTTTTTTTTTTTACCTGTTTGAACCTTTTTGACCGGTTTGAACCTAAGGAAATCGGTCGACCGGTTGGTCAACCGGCCAGGCAACCGGCTGGTTGACCAGTTCCTCCCTCCAACGGTCACAAACAGTCTTTTGATGAAATCTGCTTTCTGTCCTTAGTTTGATGAATTGTTTGGTGAAATCTCATTTTGATATCAATTTGGTGCGACCGTTGGAGCACCAAACAGTAACTTTTTCACCAAATTTTAAATTTGATGCTGGTTTGATGAACCATTGGAGATGGTCTAAGGCAGCAACGTGAAAAGCCTAGTGAAGCCTAATTGATGACGCCTATTGAAGCTAATTGATGAAGTCACCATTTAGCCACAGAAGGGGTACTGTTATCCCTCAAGACAAAGTAGTAATTATTGTGTCTTTTGTGAGAGGTTGTCTCGAGTATTTTTTGATAATTTAAATTATTTATATTGTAGGGTTCGTCGAGTAAATTATCCATATAAAAAATCAAGTTGATTGGATACTTGTAGACTTGTAACCAAAGCACATTTATTTCTATAAAAATTAACGGTTAACATACACTACAAGAAAAAGCGTTTTTGGCGACTAAAACGTCATTTTTCGTCGCTGAAAGTAGTAGAATTGGTGACTGAAATGGAATTAGTCGCCAAAATTGAGCACTTTTGCCGACTAAAAGAGTTTAGTTGCAGAATACAGGGGTTTTAGCGACTAAAAGGCAGTTTAGTCGCCGAATGTAGGGGTTTTAGCGACTAAAGGTTGTTTAGTAGCCAAAAGTGACGGTTTTTGGCGACTAAAATAATTTAGTAGCCAAAAGTTATGGTTTTGGCGACTAAAAAACATTTTCGTCGCCGATTATAGGTGTTTTGCCGACTAAAAACAGATTGGTCGCTGAAAATGAAGTTTTTTGGCTACAAAAAAAAAATTAGTAGCTAAAACAGTCAATTGGCGACTAAAATTCAGTTTAGTAGCCAAAAGGGGACGTTTTTGGCGACTAAAAACAGATTTAGTCGCCAAAACTGCTTATTTTTAATTTGAACTTATTTTTTTAGCGACAAAAAATTAATTAGTAGCCCAAAATAATAGAATTGGCGACTAAATAATGGATTTAGTCGCCAAAAGTGGCCTAATTTTTTTTAATAAACAATTTATTTTTTACATAAATTATATTGAATAAAAATAATTATATTTATATATATAGTTCTTTATTAATACCGGTCAATATACTATATAAATAATATATATTGCATATATATTCATGTGATGTTGAAGTGGCATAGTGGAGGGAGTGTGTTGCTAAAGGTGTTGGCGGTTCGAATGTGGGAGAGGTTGGCGGTTCAAATCTTAGAAAAAGCAAAGAAATTGGTTTTTTGTTTTTTTCGTGGAAGGAACTTTGGCGACGAAAACGTTAGTCGCCAAAAGTGTTTATTTTGGGCGACTAAACCGTTTAGTCGGCGATTCATGGACTATTGGCGACTAAAAGATTAGTCGCCAAATGTGTTATTTTAAAAAGTGTAAATCACTATTGGCGACTAAAAAGTTGGTCGCTAAAGAGTTATTTTTTGCCGACTAAAAAAATTAGTCGCTGAAAGTAAAAACTCAACTTTCGGCGACTAAAAGCGGACTTTTGGCGACTAAAAATTTAGTCGCCAAAAATACTTTTTTCTTGTAGTGAATATGATAATTTGACATTTATTTTGATTTCAAAATTTTAAAATATCAACTTTTAAATTGACGAAAATTTAAAAAAAAAATTATGTACAAAAAAAAAATTTATAAAAATTGAAAAAGATGAATTATTTTTTTCTACAAATTGAAAATTTGTGTCTATAAAGGAGCATGATGATGAAACATTGATGTGAAAAAAAAAAGACTTTTCGGTTTGGTTCTGGTCCGGTTTTACAAGTGTAACGGTCTGGTCTGGTTCTCAAAATCATAGAACCGTTAGGATCGGTTCGGTTCTTAGATTTTCTCAGAACCGAACCAATCCGGACCGTGTACACCCCTAATTTTAACTATATTATTTATTTTGTTATAAACCCTATTTGTCTAAAAAGAGAAACTCATAGATATAAATGTTTATGATTTTAGAGATTCAATAATTGATAATGTATTTTGTAAATATCACTATGGAGGTCCCATGATTTAGCGGACTTAAATAACCGTTGATCCTCTGATTAGTTATTTTAGTGACCCTTTATTTGTCCTGGATCCATTGACCATTTGTTCTGTTTTGTATTATGGTTATGATTATTTTGCTTATATGATTTCTGCATTATATTTTTGTCATTTAAAAGAATTTATTTATTCAAATCAAATTATTTACTATTTAACCTAAATAATTATCCATGATGACTTGTATATACCCTTATATTCTTAGTATAATATTTCTCACTCTTCCATGTGTCTATAATTGTTAAACCTTTTCAGGTAATGAAACTTAAGGAGGAGTTTTTATCCCATAAAATAGGAGTAGGGCTTGGAATAAGCACCATATTTTTTTTATTTGTAATTATTGTCTGACTCTTATTAAATAAATAAAAGCTCCAATGCGCGTTATAAATAAAATAAATATTTATGTACACTTTTTATTTTACTCCGATGCGTTATTAATTTGTTTAATTATTTTTACTCTGCTGTGTTATTAATTTGTTTAATTTAAAATTAATCCTTGGTAACTTAAGAATCGACTAGTTGTGTGGGGTTGGGTGGTGACAGCGACACACAAGCGACATTAGGGTTTCAACATCTTCACGATCGACATTAGGGTTTCATCTTTGGCGTAGTTAGGGCTTCATCTTTAGTGTACTTAGGGTTTCATCTGCAGTGAAAATCTTTGCGATTCCTTCCTCACAAATTTCTCTAACGTATTTTCATTATTCATCCTTGAGTTTGTTCATCTTTATTTAAGTTCATCTCTATTCGTAATTAGGGTTTCGTCCTCACCACCTCACTCTAATAAGTGTTTCCATTCCCCAGCTAGTTTTTCTTTGGATCTACAGTTGATTGCATTTTATATTCAGCATTAGTGAGATTAAGGTTTCGATTTCGTAATAATAAGAGGATAAATTTCAGAAAAATGAAATTTCTCTGTCTTTTGAGCTTTTTCTTGAAACTTGTTATGTGCTTGTGTTTGTAATTTTTTCTGGCATTGAATTTTTTCCGATGACATTAGACTTCTTTTACTTACTGTGACTTGCTTGATTTTCTCTAGCTAGTTGTGTGCTTGTATGTGAAATTTTCTCTAGCATTTGAATTTTCTCTGAGCACATTAGACTCCTTTTAGTTTCTGTGGCTTGCTTGATTTTCTTTGGCTAATTGTGTGCTTGTGTGTAATTTTCTCTAGCATTTGAATTTTCTTACACTAATTTATATGGCTTCTTTCGTTTTCTATACCTTGTTGTGTGCATGTGTGTGAAATTTTCTCTAGCATTTGAAATTTCTCTAGGAATTGAAAATTTCTATAGTTAGCTAAAAAACACTTAATACTCTCGTGTCATTTGATTTTCTCTGGAATTTACTTACTACTCTTCTTTTGAACTTCTTCTTGAAGCTAGTTGTGTGTGTGCGCGCGCCCATGTGTGTGTGATTTTCTCTGTAATTTATCTGCCATTAAGATATCCCTTTGAGATATGGAATTTCTTTGGCTTGTTTGATTTTCACTGCCTATAACACACTCAATTCTCTCTTGTGCCTGTTAATTACTGATCATAACGCTTCCTATTGATATCTTTATGTTTTCATTGTCCAGAAATGACAAAAAGAAAGAGCACATCTAAGGCTATCAGTTATGAGCTGAGATCCATATCAAAATGCAGTAGTAAAGCACTAGAAATACCACAAAAAATAGAAAGTTTCTGAGGCTGCCAGTTATGAGCTAAGATCTATAGGTAGCAGCAAAACACTAGAAATACCACACACACACAAAAAAAAGAAAAAAGTTCAGAGAAAATTACAAATTTATTGATAAGCATGTTAAACACAGAAAAAATTACAGAGAATTGGTAACTATTTCACAAAAACATAGAGAAAATCACAGAGAAAATCTTATTTGAGCATAATTCCACAAATTTCATTTAAATTACCAATCCATACATCTAATCCAGAGAAACTTATAATAACATGTCCATAGATCAAATCAAAATAACAATTCCAATGCAAATAAAAAAAGCATAAAAGATAGAGATCGAACTCCACTGCAAATTGAACAACAAACAACTCGAAATAACCTGCAAAAATCAAAAAAATACCAGATCAACTCCATTGCAGAAATCAACGAACAACGAACAATGAACACGACCAGAACAACGAACAATGAACAACAACAACGCAAACAACTCGAAATCAATTCCACCAGAACAACGTACAAAGAATTCGAAATAACCTTGAAACCTATTCGAAATCAGAAATCGGAAATCAAAATCCAATCTTCACCTAAAAATCGAAAATGAAAACCCAATCTCCACCAAAACAGCAAAAAATCTAATCTTCAATTACCAAATCAAAATCAAAGTATTCATATAGGAGGGCAAATTAAGTATTTTACAATATGAAAAATGGGTAAAGGACCTTAACCATAATATATATATATATGTATATATACATTGTAGACCTCTTCTACTATCCACAGTTAAAGAGTGATGTTAGACCAATTTTTTTTCCAAAAAAATCATCTTAAAAATTGTTCCCACCAAGTAAATTGCATAAATAAATGGTTAATTATGTCCAAACTTGGCCACCGTTTAAAATTTATTTATTATATATTTATTTTATAAATTAAAGAAGCAAAAGAGAATGATAATAGAGAGGGAAGAGAAGAGAGAACTATCCACTGATGAGCAAATCAATATCCAAAGCAGACATACACGCATAAATGTTATGAATATTATCAAAGTAATTAACGATAAAGAGGAGCACACTGATACTCACCAATAAGTTGTGGCCGTCTCTATTTGTGTCACCGAAACTCAAAGTTTTGGAAGCTTAAAAACGTCATATAGAGTTTGTGCAAAAGTGAATATAAGCAATAAGGAACCAGCCAGAACTGAAATTATTGCCCATGGGCCATTAAAATACTTCCGTTTCAAAATTGCCATCCACCGATTGCAGGGTTGTCCGCAATAGATGTTCACCCTGTTGAAGATATCAGCATACCGGAAATGCATGCTCGTCCCTGAGACAGCGTCACTAATCTTGTTAAATATGTTGGAAACCGCTTCATCATCACCTAGCCAATTATCAATGATTCCAACACGAGAAAGTATTTCAACATCTTTTGGAGAGTCAATGAGGCAATCTAAAAATTTCACATAATCAGTCACATAACTGCGTTGGTTATCAGGACAATATTGTTCGTATGCAATGAGATTTCTGAAGATTGACTCAGTCATGTCTTCAACGGTTAAAGGTGGAATATACAATTTCGCTTCGTCAAACTTGATATTGAACAAGCTACCTCCGGTAACCTCAAACTTCTCTAGCTTAACTCCAGCTTCCTGAAGCTCCGTGGCATTGGGAATGAAACGCCAATTCCCGTTTCCAATAGGCGCACTCGCAGATGAAGTATTTTGGATAGGCGTACTCACAGATGAAGCACTTCCAATAGTTGTACTCACAGATGAAGTAATTCCAATTGGCGTACTCACAGATGTACTCACTGATGACGCATTTCCAACTGTCGTACTCACAGATGAAGCATTTCCAATAGGCGTGCTCACAGATGAGGCATTTGCAATCGGCGTGCTCACAGATAAAGGGAGCCACTCATTGTGTACCAACTCGAGTAAATGCCTGAAATTGCCGTGTGAATTACCAGCTTTCATTTCATAGGTACCTGGTAAAAGATCATTAAAAAATTTCAAGGCAAGATAAATGAGCCTGCTATTGTTGTTTGGAGCCTCAATCAGATCAAATAATTTGCGGAGTATAGAGAACGGGAGTTGGTTTTCAAATAGCATCAAATCGCGCTTCAAGCTATTAACCATCCAGATTGACTTAAAAATAGGATCATCCGGATCTCTCAAGTGTTCCATATCAGACTTCCGCAACAATTCAATGATAAAGCAACCATCCAGTACCATGATTTGGATCATTTCATCTGCAGTAAGGCTCACTGGTTTAGCATAAAACAAACTCTCTTTTTGGTGTAGCGGTCTAATAGCATTGACATATCTGCTTGCATCATTCCCTCCTTTTTGTTGAAGCAGTGAATGAAAATAACGTAACTTGTGCTCCTCCATCATCTTTAGGTTTTCATTTTCACGGTGGTAAGGACCAATTGCAACAATCTCTAGGTCATAGGCCTGCTCGTTTACCTGACGTAGTGGCTTATGCATTCTAAATATGCAACAGTCTGATGGCGTAGCGGAGAGACCGTCAAGCAGTGTACTAATACAAATAACAGGAGCATCTTGTGGCATGTTTACTTAAAATGTTTATTGTTCCAAACAAACCACTAAGAAGTTAGAAAATTGAATTCCCATGAACCAAAATCAAATATGAACATGTTCTAAATAAGGTGGTGGATGTCACCTACCTACCAAGTCTTGGTCAATTTTTATTTACTATTTCTTGTTTGAATCTTAATTTTACTAGTTGTTTAGAATCTTAAAAAAACATAAATTAATTTTACCCCTGCAACATCAGAATTCATTGTTAGGACTATGGGACACCAGAAATTAATCACACACAAGAACACAAGAGATTTATGTGGTTTGACAATTGCCTACGTCCACGGGAGAGGTATCCACTATAGAATTATTCCGGAGGGAGATTACAGTACTCACACCTCACAACTCTCTCTATAGCACTCTCACTCTCACTCACAGATTATACCCTATGTGTTTGCTATTCAGCTCTCTGTGTCACTCCCATATACAACCTCTCCTCACTCATCTCAATTTATAACCAAGACAAGAGGAGTGGGTGAAGGGACAACCATAATTGGCGAAGGTGGTGCCACCCTCACTATCTTCATTTAGTGAGTTGGTGTTACCCCTACCATTTTCTTTAGTACATGGTGCCATTCTTTAGCACATGGTGTCACCCACACCATGTGGAGTGTGGGCTGGAAGCTAACATTCATTTGGGGGGAAAAGATGAATATTGTAGTGTGATTGTAAATTCAAATAGTAATAGAAACCTTCTGAATTATGAATGATTATGTCGTTATCTGATCGTTACAGTTGCCGATTCATGGCCGCTTGGGAGAAAAAACAACAAAGTAGTGTTTTGGATGGCAGATGATGGACAAACTTTGCAATTGACATTGATGCCACGTTTGTGGGCCTGCATTTTCAGTCAATATGCTGAGCTTGCACTGCTAGCCCATTTGTTTGGAGGATTAGGTTGAATGATATTATTAATATAGTGAGATTGAGTGAGTAAATTATTAGTATGATGGTATTAGGTTAGAGATATAAAATAAATTGCATTTGTTAAAACACTAGTGTAGTGATATTAGTTTGTCGGCATTCAATCTATAAAATTATGTAAAAATTCTCATCATATGAAAGGTGACTTCGTTATTTTTGTAAAATGAGAAGCAAAATAGTCTTTCTACCTCCAATCCCATGAGATTAAATTTCAATACCATCTCTCCCATGGGATTGTTGGATAAGGAGATGTCATAGCATTCTGTTGTGACGTCCCAGTTGCGGTTTGTCTCGATTATATTTTGATGATTTGAACTGTTTATCTTATAAGGTTCGTCGAGTATATTATCCATATAAAAAATGAAGCGAATCGGATATGTGTAGCCCCATGACCGAATTATAATTGTTTTAAAAAATTATTAAAATTATGCTAATTGTTTATTTTTTATAAATATAAATGTGGTCTTATTATGGGCTACATATGTCTAATTGATTTGATTTTTTTTTTTTATAAATGATTTACTTGACGAACCCTATAATATAAATGGTTCAAATCATTAAAATAGATTTGAGAAACAACTTACAGACCCATAACGCAGTCTATTTCTATAAGGGACATCACCCTCCCCGGTTTAGAATTTTCAATCCCTTCTTTGAAAGAATTTCCTAAAGAGGGGTTTTATAGTCCCTTAAGACTATTAATCTATGGCAAAATTTTAAAATATCACACCTCACTATTAATCCAGTCCAACAAACAAGGCTTCAATGATTTAGCCTCATAAGTAAATATTAGGGTATAGACTCATTAAGAGTCGAATTCAACCTTTATACCCACCATATGGAGCCTTTGTTTTGTTTTGTTTGTTTTTTTTTATCAGCAAAAAAGAAATTTTATTGATGAAAAGCAAAGTACAAGGTACAAAACAAAACATCAATAAAAAGAGGCGAGTGTAAAAATATCACGATGGGTTAAATCATCCCAACTGAATTGACACAAAAAAACCTATCCTATCATTTGCTAGCGCCCCAAAATTAGTGAGCCACCAACCAAAACAACAGAAGAAAGACAAGCAACAAAACAAAACTACAACAATATCTCCACTACAACAATAGCGCTGCCTGGCAGTCACCATGGCAGACACCATATCATTTAGCATTCCACAGGCTAGCATAGCAGTGCAGATAGTCTCCTCTACAATATTAGCACATTTTGAAATCCTTTTTTCAACAAACAAGGCTTTAATGATTTTGCCTCATAAGTAAATATTAGGATACAGACTCATTAAGAGTCAAATTCAACCTTTATGCCCACCACAGGGAGCCTTTGTTTTGTTGGAATCCCTTTTTCATTTCAAGATTGTATTGAATTATGAATTTAAGTAAAAATCTAATGAAAATTTTAGTGAGAATTGTAGAAAAATAGCATTAACACAAAATAATTGTAAAGTTATGGAAGTACAAACAATTCATGTATTATCAGATTGTGCAATTAAATCTTATACTTTTATTTTTTTGCAATTATTTTGAGTTCATATAATTTTCAACAATTCTCTCAAAATTTTATAATACACATCCCATTTTGGTGGTGTGTACCATACACTCCAATTATGACGTTTGCGATATTTAATTATGAGTTATTATAATATTAGCTATAACTTATTGTGGTATTATTTATAATTTATTGTAATATTGGTTATGACTTATTATAATTATTATTTTAGTTATGATTGAAAAGATTTTTTATTATATGATATTTGGTTGTGTTTTATTAATTTTTTAATTGTGATTGAAAAAAATTGAATCATGACATTTGTGGTGCATATGATTAGAATGACTCAAAATTTAAAAGAAAAATATGAAAAAAATATAAGTTAATTTACCGAAACTCAACATAAGAATTGGTTAGTCGACCCACGGACATAATAAAAAGTAAAGATAAATTATAAATATATTTTTTAAAATTTGTTTAAAATACGATTTGTTCTTGTTATTTTGGAAATTACATCTCGACATTTGAAATTCCAAATTTTATAACAAATGACATATTTTATTACTAAATCATTAAGTTAATTAATATTTTTTTAATAATATTAGAAATTTATTTTAATTAATAATTCATGTAATTTCATCATTGTAAATGAGAGCAGTTAAGAATTTCATTTTATCTGTAATTCTGATAAATAAAAAATTCTAATAGGTGGTGTTTGGGAAGAATTTTAGTTGGGTTTTTTCTCTTTTTTTTACTAAAAGACAAAAATTTTGCAAAACCAAAAAAAGCACATCCAAACAAAATATCACATCTAACCCATAATCATTTCACTTTTTCTCTCACAAACATCACATCCAATCATAAAAAAACCCAACTATCTTTTCAAACAAAATTTTTTTTTTCTTCAATAATATCCTACATCTAAAAAAACTTACCTTCCAAACACCATCAAAATGATATTTATAATTTTTCAAATTATAAGATCCAATTCATAGAGTAACAATAGTAGATAGTATGATGAAACTTGAAAGTGAAAGAACAAAAAGAAAGAAATTGTAATCAGAAATATATACATGTATATCTAATAGAAATAGAAATAGATATACTTAAACAGCAAACAGTACGTAAAAATCAACTTACTTTGAGTTGGAGAGTAGAGACAGAGGAGGGCTTAGCAGATAAGATTAGCAGGTGTCCCTTAAAATCACTTTGTTTATGATCTGTGCAGAGAGAAATAATAACGCTGTGTTTAGTTTGAGGATTTAGAAAGAGATTTGAAAAATAAAAAGAAAAAAGTAAATGAAATAAAGTAAAATGTATGTATATTTCATTCATATTTATTTATTTTTTTTCTTTCCCTCTTACTTTTCAAATCTCCCAACAAAACCTAACGTAAAAGTTGAATGAATGAATCAATTGACTCCTTAACCTGGCCTAGCCTGGCCGTTTTGTTTGATCGGATAAGTGTTAGTAATTACAAGCAGAGAGAATGAATTACGAACCTTCCTTCAACGAGTCGAATCTGGGGAAAAACCAGAGACGAAGAACACCCACTAGTTGACCACGACGTGAACTGAACAAGAGCAACGATAATAATACTACTAGATCGAGTCGAATCCGGGAAGAACCAGAGACGAACACCCACTAGTTGACCAAGACGTGAAGTGACCAAGACGAACACTCACTAGTTGACCAATACTACTACGACATGTTTGTTCGGCTGCCTAGGAGGGAAGAGATTAAGAATACCGTAAGATTGGGGCCGCTTTTGGGAAGTGGGTTATAATCCACTTTTCAGATTATAACTCACTTTTTCTCTCACAAAAAAATTATTTATAAGTAGTTTTTAATTAAAAAGTTGATTATAATCATCTTTCTAAAATAGTCATGAGTGAGTGAGTGAGAAGATTATTAATATGATAATATTATATTAGAGATATAGAATAAAAAAATGTTTATTTAGATATTTGTGATGTTATTAAGTTGGAGATGAAGGATAAAAAATATTTATTTATGTATTAGTGTATAATATTAATTAGTTGAAATTAAATTTATTTACATAAAAAGATTTTACACATATTTTTGTAAAGTAGGGTACAATATTTATTTTTGTATTTATTAAAATATTTAAATATTTGTTTCCAAATATTATGTATTTTTGAAAAAAAATTGATTAATAAATTATTTTTAAAAAATAATATTAAAAATATTTTAATCTATCTTATTTAATAAACTAACTAACTAATGCAACTTTTAAAAAAAAATGATATGAAATTTCAATAATACCCTTCTTATATTCTTTTTATTTGATGTAGGGTAATCTCCTCATTTAATTTCTAATCTCAATTCCCATAGCTTTGTTGGTCTTACCAATGGGGGATTACAAGTCAAAGAGAATAGTTAGCCTCCGTTTGGGAAGTGAGCTGATTTTTTGACTTTTTTAGCTATTTTAGTTTGGGGCTTAAAAAGCTTCATTTGGGAAGGGCTTTTGACTTTTTTGATTTTTTTTTTAAGAAAAAGAATGTAATGATTATGAGATGGATGTGATGTTTTGTCTTATTAGACTAAAATAGCCTCTTTTGTCTTATATGACTATTTTAGCCCAAATCTTGCTTCCCAAACGGAGGCTTAATTCCCTTGTCTCCCAATCAAACACTCTTTAGGTGAATCTTACGAACTATTAATTCAATGGAGAAATTATTTTACAATGCAATAGAAAAAAAAAATACATAAATATAAAAGAGTGTAAGTGAAACTTGTACCCCTACAATTTTTCACTTGCACCTTACCACAAAATCACTTTTACCCCTATGTATTTATATATACATATTTTTTTTTGAATATATTACCAATAGGCTTTAATAGTTGAATTTAATTCCCATCAAGTCCTATTAAAAATAATTTTTAGTAAAATTGTTACTAAAAATAATTTTTTGTGAAGATTTTTTACATATATCGTTAAAAATTAACAATTAGTGTATTTTTTGTCACAATTTTTATAAATTGTCGCTAAAATATATAATTAATGGCTTTTTATGTGACAATTCAAATCGTTGCTGAAATTAAAAATTAGCGACGTTTTTTTTCTGATAATTTTTTAAACGGTTGCTAAACCTATAATTAATAACATTTTTTTAAGACAAAATTTTAGAATTGTTACTAAAAATTAAAAATTAGTGATATTTTTAAATAATATTTTATAAAAAATATTATTAATTATTATACAATCTATTAAATAATAAATTTACCTATTATAATTTACACTTAAATTATTATTCTTTCATTATTAAATAACTCCCCCCGTCACCCTTCCCAAAAGTCAAATAAACATGGCCCTGGTACAATGTTTGCGTGAGAAAAATTTACTTGGAAAAAACCAGGAACCTCTTTATCGATATTCCATCTTGAAAAATATTTGAGAGACATAATTTTTGTGGTTATAATGGCTTAAAACTGTCAAAACGACGTCATTTTAGGTGCAAAACATGCCAAAACGACGTCGTTTTAACAGTTTTGAGCCATTGTAGCCATAAAAATTGTGACCCTCTAACATTGTTGTTCCATCTTTTGTTGCTTTTTACACTTGAATTATTATTTTTTCATTATTAAATAACTCCCCCCCGTCAAATCACCCTTCCCAAAAGTCAAATAAACATGGCGCTGGTACAATGTTTCCGTCAGAAAAATTTAGTTGGAAAAAAACAGAAACCTCTTCATCGATATTCCATCTTTTGTTGCTTTTTACACTTAAATTATAATCAGTCTTGTGTGAGTGATTTTCTGATCACGCTGCCCGCTTAATAATCAATTAGAGAGTACTGACAGAATAGATGACTTCAGTTAACCTGTAACAGAAAGAAAAGGCTTCGGCGGTAGCTCTTCCACCCGGGGGAACTCCGACGATCAAGTCAGTATATCTCTCAAAGATAATCAAGTGCTAAACTCACTGCTCAAATCATAAATTTGTGTACTTTAGACCCACGTGGGTGCCTCTCTTTTATAGTTTACTTAATCCTAGTCCCACTAGAAGCCTGAATTCTATGAACTCCAATTCAGTACTTACTTTGGACTCCTTAAGAGATAAAAACAAACTCCCTAAGAACTTTATCCTCATCTTGACTAAGGCCTCGTTTGGGAACAGACTAATTTAGTAACTTTTTGGCTATTTAGCTAAAATATAAGCTAAAAAAAATTAGTATGTTTGGGATGACTTTTTGACTTTTTACGAAAAGATGTGCAAAAAGTAGAGAGAAAAGAGAATCTTTGACTTTTTAGTATGGGTTGTTGGCTTTTTGGCTTTTTTAGTAACTTTTTGGCTTTTTGGCTAAATGGGCTGGTTTCCAAACGAGGCCTAAGTCTCCTCTTCAATCTAGGACTCTTGTCCCTTATCTGTTTATCTCGAATTTCGATATCTTCGGAGATAACCTCGGCAACGCCGAGATGGCCTCGGTATAATGACCAGGATACGTGGCACCTCGGCCGACACATCGGCGTCACCTTGCCACGTGTTGGTAATCAGAAAATATATCCCCACAATTGTCACCTAGGTTCTATTACCTCGGCATTTTGAGGTGATGGAACCTATATCGGTACTTCCTCCTGTACATCGGCTCAAGAATTTCTCAGCCGAGATCATTCATTTTAGGTCGACATGTTCTCTTCAGAGAACAAGAATTCAATTGAACTCTTTCACATGTGTGAGCTGTCACGTATCATTTGCTCAACCGTTTCATTCATGCGTCTCCACCTTATTGGATCGTGCTCATGACGCGCTTTGCAAGCCGTCTCTCTCTCACATGCGCCATCTGACGCATATGTTCTTCTAGGCGTATTAACTATTTTTTGCTGCTGTTTTCATTTTTAACAAAACATTTTCTTCGATTTTTTCCTCTCATCTTATTCTTATTTCTGGAAAACTTTTTCTCTCTCTAGCTTTTCTCTTCTTGAGTCTGCCATTGTTCAAGCTTTTTGCTCTGAAACTTATTCCGTTCACCCCTTCCGGCGTGTTTTGCACTATTTCGTCGCTTCCACGACTGTCGTCCGACTACGGCGATCTTTACACCGGCTTCATATTTTCTGGTAAGCAACTGTTTTCTTCTTATTCCAGTTCTTGATCTTTTCTGGAATTTCTTGTTTACTACTGCCTTGCTCAAACAATTAATTTGTGAATTATACATCTGAATGCATTGATTTCGCTTTTTGCTTATACCTCAAATACATGTACTGTTCATAGTTTTTTTTGCACGTCTTGCCACTGCTCTTGGCCTTCAACCCTTTGTGTTTTTCATGTTCTTGATAGTCCATCTCTGTTCTTGATTCTGAAACTTCGCATTTGTTTTCTGTTTTTTGTGTCTTTTCCAGATCTGTGCCTTTGATCTTCATCTCCATAGTTTTAGGTTTGAGATTTGAATATAGAACCCACATTTTAGGGCAAAACTGAAACATCCCTTACAAATCTTTACACCAACTAAAACCTAGGTTTTTTTTGCCGAGGTCCCAATAACCCTATTTGAACCATCTTCTTATTTAAACCCAACACCTTTAGTTATCCCGACATCATAGGTATGTGGGAACATCGGGTAAACACCCCCTCTAAGCTAGAATTTTTGAAATCCCAGCCGATGTCAATCTGAGGTTGGCTGGGGATGATGACTCCATCATGCCTACAGAAAACTCCATGCCCTTCCCTGTGGTTGCCTTTATCGAGTGTGGACTCCGGTTCCCACTTGACCCATTTTCCGCCAAATCCTTCACTTCTATAAGTTGAACCCAATGCAACTTGCCATCAATTCTTACCGAGTTATCACTGGCACCATAGCCTTAGTTAAACAAGAGAATGCCAGAATTACACTCGCCGATTTTCAATACTGTTACACCATGTGTCGTCTTAGAAAAGACACGGACTATGTCTATTACCTTAAGCCGAGATCCACCGAATATAAAATTGTAGCCGACCTCCCAGACTCCAACAAGGGAGCTGGAGACAATTACTTCATTGTCTCGGGCAATTGGAAATTTCAGCCAAATGACGGTCTCCATCTTTATCCTTTAAGCCGAACTGTTTTGGGAGAAGGAGCTGGTAAGGGCCACCCTTCATAAGTTTTTTTTTATCTTCTTGTATAAATTGTTCAACATTCTTGTTCTAATGTCTGTACTGTTTTTATCTTTGCAGTTCTTCCTCAGCCACCAAAGAATTTTCGCCAATCTTTCCATCCCAGCAAGGATTTGAAAAAACTTCTAAACTTGCTGATTCACAAACGAAAGGCGCCTCTGCTCCTTAACTTTATCCCAACTTATAAGTCAGCCTTGCCCGGCGTCCCCAAAAGGAAGAAGAAAAGCCTCTCTCCACTTTCTGCCACAACTCCGTTGACTGCATCCACATCACGAACAGATCAAGGATCAACATCTGATCCAGCTGATCAGCCATCAACTTCGGTTCCATACCTGGTCCCAATATCAGAACGAAAACGTCGGCGATGACTTGTCCTTACTGCCGAGATAGGTCGCCCTAAGCCTGTTGCAAAAGATCTATTGGCCAGTATTCCATCATCTGTTGATGAGCAGCCAACACAAACCCAACCTCCACCGAAGCCGAAAAGAGTAAAGAAGGCTCAACCAAAGGCTAAGATAGCTCAGGTTGAATCTGAAGACACCTTGCTGATCTCAAAGTTGGCTGAGAGTGATAAATCTCAGCCTTCTGCTGGGAAGAGGCGCTCTGAGTCTCAACCACCAGAATCCCAAAACCCAAAAAAGCCGAGGT